TTGTAATTTTATTATTATATTTTGCAATGTGTGAAATAATGCAAGCCTAAAAGTAGCGACTAAGTGACATACCCTACGGGGTGTCATAACAATAAGTACTTACCTAATGGAACGTGTATTGTTGTGACTTGCATTTTAAATAAATAAATAAATGCCTTATAAATCAGCCCATTATCGTATAGTATCATTTGTACATGAAAGGCAGTAAAATTAGGTGATATTTTACCATAAATATTTACAATCGATTATTTAGGTCAGCGTAATTATAGAAAATTATGGATATATTTGTAGGTACTAAGTAGTTAGATTTCAAATATAGTATAACAAATTTTGTCCTTAGTGAAACGAACTACGTCGTCCTTGGGCACTCATCAAATGTAGAGCAGTTTTCAGATACAAAGATAAAGAACAAGGACCCAAGATGTTGTTCGGTACACGATTGTATCTTATTTACTTGCAGCTCTACGACTGTCTCGTGTTTGCGCCCCTTTATTGTATGCCTGAACTGTTTTGTCCTTCAACTTTGCGTTAAGTTCACTGTGCGTTTGATACCTGGCTTCACAACGATAACGCACTAGGCTTCAAAAACACAATAGGTAAATATTTGTCAAAGACGAATTGTTGGTGTTTGGTAGTTCAAAGATTGGCAATCTTAAAAGCCAAACTTGCTTTAAGACACCGATGTTACTAATATAACTCTAAATTTTCAAATATTGTTCTGTAGGGCAGTGGAATGCGTATGAAAGTACTTGACATTTTGCACCGTTCTTATGATAAGCTTTTTACTTAAATTTAATTCTTAAGTGTCATGCTTGACGTGATCTTGACCCTGTAGCAACTTGCATAGAGAACATGGTAACGCCAAGATTGTTGACCGGGTGCAACAGCGTGCTTACACGTAGGTACTCTGTCTGTCCGTCTGTCCCCCAGACTTAAATTTTTTTCATTCTCGCTCGAACTGGTTCAATCGGTTTATCGTGCAGTTTTTTCTATTAAGTAGGGCATGGCGGTGTGAGGATAATGCTATCACATACCTCGTCGCTATGCGATCCAATTACGCACAATTAACTTTGTGTAAAGTGAGGACTAGAATGCGAAGGTATTGAGCAGACGCTGTGATGCTCTTTCCTGAACATTCCAAAGTCATACTTAGATGAACGTTTTTCTATTAAACTGTGATGTTCTTTGTCTGGCAAAATGAAAGCAAAATGTAATCACCGATAGTGATTCCTGCTACAGACAATGTTACAAACATTACCTCTGTCGAGACAGAGTTATCTCTTCTAGGTTAAGGTTAAAAACTCAATTAAGCATGACTCTAAATAAGCATATTATCTTTAGCGAATGATTCACTTTAATTTCAAATTAGGACGTACATTTTTCAGGGACTGTAAACACGATACTCAGTATAAGATCGAGATAACTGAAATTGTATACAAAATTTCACGAGCCTTGCGCTTGTTACTAATGCAGAATGTAAGATGAGTGCGCAATAGAGCATAGATAAGTTTTAAGTAGGTACATTTTTCTAGTCGTATAATTATGGTGTTCATGTTCCAAGGCTTTATAATCACTCATCTGTCTCAAGGACATAAACATAGTCTCCTTAAATTCAGTAAAAAAGGAGCGTATCCTACAACTACCAGTGATATTGCGAATAAAAGTTCATGGCATTGAATTAAGACAATTTTGATTATGTAGCATGAACACCGTTTAAAACAATAAATTGTGTTGACGATTTTTTCTGAAGTTAGCCGACAAGAAACCGTTGTATGCGCCTGTTAATGAAGTTAATGTTACGTAACGTGGACAGTTACGCAAAGCCAATGTCAAGAACGCTACGTCAATATATAGCCGACAAGCACCGGCTGCTCGTTTGCCGGTGTCGGCACCTTACACAGTTGAGACGCGCGCGCGGGTCGACGACCGCGATACCAAACAAAATTTCAACCCATGTACGGCCCGTGTACACATTTAGATTCAAGTATTGATATTGACGGTCATCGCTCTACTAAAAATAACAAATGTAACTACGCAAAAGTCGACTTGAACTTGGTCGTCACAGTATTTCGGTTAATTAAGCAAAACATGTTTGCGACTTCTTTTTCGCTCAATGTTTTGAAACGCACTGGTGAGCGCATAGATATGAGCGCCGCGACGTCGTCGTCGCCGGGGTTTTCCCTCCCGCCGCCGCGCCACTCGCCGCCTGTTCGCGGTCGGCGCGACTTAAGTCTAGACATTAAGATTAATTATATTTATAAGGCTTAAACTAAAATCTTAACTTAAATCTTAAGTTAAATTTGCATATTTGAAAACGTACATTAACGCCCTGTTCACTCAAATATGCGTGTCGTAAACGCTGTCTTGTGGTTATCTGACTGTATTAATACGTATACATATAATAAATATTATACTAAGAATGTTCAATTTAATAATGTTAAAATGTTTACGTATGTGTAAAAAATCGTTTTTTTTATTGATAGAATCGTGGTTGAATCTGTTTCGTAAGGCTGAGTTGCATTAGCTCATTGATTTTTTCCTTGAGAATTTATTAACTTAACATAAATAACATGGTTTATTATTTACCTGTCTCATAATAGGAGCGGTTCATCTTTCTTTCATAATTATGTCACGTCGGTGTTTGGCGTATGTGAACGCTGAACACCCCGCGCGACGTGCATTACCCATAGTAAACGTATAGTAGGAATTACTTGAAATGTCCGAATCTACTCGAAGAGCTTTTATCTTCTAAACAATGAAATTTTATTTATATTAGCCACACGCCAATCACCGTACTACATCTGGGTACTAGAGATTTTATTTTCTTTGGGAGTTTAGTAGCAATACCATTTTAAAAAATGAAATGAAAATAAGTAACAGTACACGCGATATTGGTATATTTTTCAGTGTTTTTTTAGGTTTGCTTGATATTATTTAATATTTAGTCGATTTAATGTTTCCAAGTAGTTAATTTTACGTTGTTCTACTTTTTAAGTTGGACTCTGTATAGAGTCCAAATTACAATCGTATTATAAAAAAATAAGTATTTTTACAAAATACTTTTTTTTTCTCCTTTTTATTCCGACGAAAATGAAGTGGTTGGGCTTAATCATGTATACAATGTCATTATTTAAAAGATAAACGCTCATGTGGATTCGGACATTTCAAATAATTTCTACTATATCCGCGGTGCTCAATCAAATTTTAGGCTGTTAGCAGATTCACTGCATGTTTGCAGTTAATGCGTGAAGTCGTCATCAACTTCATGCAACCGAGACCTCGACTGCATGAAGTTGACAACGACTTCACGCATTAACTGCATGCAGTCTATCTCGGCTGCATGAAGTCGGTTTCGACCGCATGCTGTTAATGCATGAAGTTGTTATTAACTTCATGCAGTCGAGATTTCCGACAACGACTTCACACATTAACCATAAATATGCAGTCAATCTGTAAGCTAGATATGTAGCATACACATGTGCGTCAATCATAAAATTGGCGACGGCGGCGGCGGCGCCGGCGGCACGATCGACAGGATAGGCGCGTCTTATATTTTTCAGATGTTTAAAGCATTGTAAAATATAAAAAATAATGTTTGTAAAAAGCTATGACATCAAAATGAACGCTCATAATTTAGATATATAGTATGAATATAAATTACGTTTCGTAATTTATGTTAATTGTATGGATATAATGTATTGAAATATAGTAAATAAATAACTAACAAAGAAACTGATATTTCATTAAAACAAAACAAGTTTTCGCCACGCCGCCGCGCCGATTTTACGTTGGACAAGCTGTGGTACGGCGGCCCGTGTCTTGTATTTTTTTTATAGTAGAACAGTAGTAGTGTGTATATACTTTTTAACGAAAATCCATTGTCTTTCTTCCTAGAAGACTACTGTTCTAATGTTACACGCATTAAGGAAACCAAACACATAGACATCCACAAATTAAACCCAAACCTACGAGAGAAATAAATGTAGGCCATACAAATATTTCTCCCGGCACGGGAATCGAACCCGGGACCTTTGCGTGGCAGTTCGTCATGGTAACCATTCGGCCATGGAGGCAATCAAGGCAGTTGGGCATTAATGTGGGATTCCTCTTGTGTTAATACGTTGACCCCGGCCCCAGCTTATCCACGAAACGTCTGAACAAAAAATAGGGTGACTCTGAAGTCGAGCTGGCGGATAGATTAAATTTCTTATGACACCACACTTGACCACACAATCTCTCTTCTCCTATTTCACTTCTTTTAACGTTGATTTAAAAACAATGACATATACGAATTTAATTATTTTTAATATAATGTTAACACGTTTACGTTTCTAACTGCCAAAAGAATGGATCCTCTTTCATTGTCTTTTCGCTCACTTAGAGAATGAATTTGGATCTGTCTAAATGCCTTCCTCGGTGCTTAAATGATAAAAGGCACCTAGAGTAAATGGTCATAATTTTAACAGGACTAACTCTTTCATGTACTATTGTAAATTACTTATTACTTGCCTAGTACCGATATACAATGTAGAACAACGACAAAATTACTGTATTGTATTTATCCCAAATTAATAAGCACTTTCTTTCATAAACAGTGACTAATTAATTACTTTCACTACGGTTTTGATATGCCTATATTAACATGAAGTCACCTATCAGAATTATAGTAATAAACTCTCCTCTCCCATTCAAAAATTCTTTTTGGCCATGGTAAAGGCGAAAGTGTAAAATGGATATCCATAATAATTATGTTAAATAATTATAGTAATAATTATATGTAGGTATATCAGACAACCACACTAATTGCCTGATATCAAACTAGGGAATTTCCTGTAGTATGAGTACCAGAGCATTTTGTGAACAGAATGAAATATGAGAATTTCACGCATAAATTTACAAATTCACAAATTTGTATAGCGTCGTTTTTTTTATTTTTTTGTACAAACTTGTACAAACTTGTCGTGTGATTGCAAAATGTAAACTGTATCTTTAACGAACAGGGCCCAGGCTTGCCGACACTTGTACTAGCGGTGACGGCAATGGTGGTGGCGATAACTGCGATGCTGTCCCGTGCGGGCTCAGCGGACGAAAAACGGACGCGGCTGCCAGGTCCACGCGCGCTACCGTTGCTCGGTACTCGCTGGCTCTTCTGGAGCCGTTACCGGATGAATAAGTTACACGAGGCTTATGAAGGTACTATTCCGTCCAATATTCAGCTAAGCGTGAACCTAAAAGGACATCTAGCCTAATATTGCTTCTAAAGCAACAGGAACTTTAAAACAAGAAACTTTGAAACTCATCATCAGCATTCATCATTATTTGCATCACCCTCTTCTTATAGTCTACACCCAGCGTAGACTGTAAGAAGAGGGTTTAGGCCATAGACCGCCACGCTGATCCAATGGGGGTTTTCGAAACCTACGGTTTGCGAGGGGTATTTTTCTACTTGATGTTTACGAAGTGTAGGTACGTAACCTTCAAATTAATTAATTAATTTAATTAATTTGAACACGACATAATTAATAACTTGACATAATTAATTTTAAACCTTACTTTGTATATATTTTCACTGGAGCTGTCTTTGCCCAGTAATAGCACATGAGGTTTAATGGAACCACGAATGTAGAATCTTGTGATAATTTACTACTTTTAGGCTTTTTGCGAATGTGACTAGTTTACCTTGCTATCACAACAAGAAATCTTGCACGCAGATATGTTCAGGCGGTACGGGCCGGTGTTCGCGGAGACGACTCCCAGCGGTGCCAAGGTCGTTTCTATCGCGGAGCGGAGTGCACTTGACGCCGTCTTCCGCACCCGGGCCAAGCAACCTTACCGTCCCCCCACTGAGATCGTCCAAGTATACCGCAAGAGCCGCCCTGACCTCTATGCCACCACCGGTCTGGTCAATGAGTAAGTGAACAATGTCACATCTTCATAAGCAACGGCTGGCATCACAGACGTGAGTGAGCCGTACCATGAACTTGCCATTGCACGAAATTGTGACGGTCACGGTGCTTTGCAGGTGGGTTTCTTTATTTATATTTATGAAAGAGACTTGTTACAGCATTACTAAATTACGGAACATGTACGGTTCTCAATAATGATACGCCCTATATTGTTTCTTGCAGTAAATTGCAGTTGCGTTGATTAAATTCCAATATACGTATAAAGAGTAGTTTAAAAAAAATTAACTAAAGCAATAAAATAAACGAAACTTTCAACCCCAATTACTAAACTATCTTATAATACCAGTTTCCGGTCACGTGCTTGAGGTATGAGAATTTTATTGCTTGGACAGGTTTTTACAAGTGAGTCAGGTTCAAAACAACTTTCTGCCTATGTTTTTATAGGACGTGTCTTCCGTAGGTAGGTAGCTATTTATTTTTGGACTATTATGTCTCATTTACATTACCTGTCCTACAAGCATTTTAAAGCTTTAAGCAACGATAGTTTATAAATATAAATCATTACCGCCGATAATTAATGAAGTAAAAAATAGAGGAATAAAATTTACTTGTAAGAAATGAACCTATTTTTCCAGATTTAAATCGCGTATATTTGTTATTTCAAACAAACCGACGTTTGACCGACACGGTTGACTGACTGTGACCTTGGGGCCTGTAAAGGGCCCGAAACGTCGGTTTTTTTTAAAAAACAAATACATACGATTTAAGTCCGGAAAAATAGTTTCATTTCCTATGTGTAACAATCGCGAAAACCTAAGAACTCGATAAAACTTACTTGTTTTCATTTAGGTAGTTTCGGAAGCTTGTCTATAGAATTATTCTGATCTGTTATTTGAGTAGATCTGTTATAGCCATGCCACATTTAAATTTTATTATAAAAAGGCATTACAATAAACAACATTCATATGCTAACAATTCACAGAGATAGAGTATAAACTTTACATATTACAGGCAAGGCGAGACGTGGTTTCACCTAAGACATCACCTGACTGCAGACCTGACTAGTCCTCAAACCATGAAAAGATTCCTCCCTGAGCTTAACGTGATATGCGATGACTTTGTGGACCTTCTTCAGAGCTGTCGCCGCCCTGACGGCAGCGTTTGCGGTTTCGATTGCCTTACCAACAGAATGGGACTTGAATGTAAGTATTTTCTTATTTTTTTATATACACAGTGTCTGGGTCTCTCTTCACTAATACAGCCTTTTTTTGTAACATCTCTTTAGATACAGGCTGAAAAACTGGAGAAAAATTATTGATTCATTCTGTCCGTTTTCCATCTGTCTGAAATTTTCTCCAAAACCAGCTGGTTATAATTTGGCACGAAGATAGAAATTGGTGGTTCGACAGCCATGTTATTTTAGTTAAGGTGTAGAATAAATTATTTTTTGACGTAATGACGAGGGCAAATATGGAAGCTTGTTAAAGCATGAATAATACACATGTCATGTAATATTGTTGCTTACGTAAATTATTATTTATATTCATTTTATAATAAATAACCACTAACAATCTCGTATGTCTAAAACTAGAACTCGAATATTTCGAAAAATCTGGAATATTTTTCATAATGTGGATGACACACTGGCAAAGGCCTCTTAACGGCCTTTGTGGTCGAGTGGCTTGCACACCGGTTTTCATGGTGTCGTCATCCCTGAGATCCGGATTCGATCCCTGGATGGGTCGAAAACATTCATAAACAAAGGCAAGGCCGGAAACAGCCACGGTACTCAATGTTTCAAATTCATAGACAAAAGCATATTATAAGTCATTCAATTTAGAAACGAATCGTGTTGAATCCTTAGAATAATAACGCATAAAATGATAGTTTCATAAAAAACTAACTGTCACAAGTGAGGCAAAAATCAAATTCATGTAGGCGTAAGCAACTTGTATTTACGCTCGTCGGCACGCACACAAATATACAAATAATGATGCCATGGAATAACATTTCCCTCAAAAGTGGGGAAATTGTATCTTGCTTAACTCATCGTTAAGTTAGAGGTGCCTACAGATTTGCTCGATTTTGTCGATCTTTACTGTCGATCAGGTGACTGTATATGCTCGATTTTGTCTATCGTTACTGTTGATCGACAACGTCAAGTGACAGGAATTTTCAAAAATTTCTTTTTGGTTATCCTTATGGAAACGGCATTTATATCTGAATACACGAAGGCGAACACGACTTTTCTCATTTCTAAATCCAAGATGGCGGACACGTCTTTTCAAATAAATGCAATATGGGAATCGTTTTCGAGGCATTCGAGGTGCTCATCACGAATATGGCATTTATTTCAAAATCCAAGATGGCGGACACGACTTTTGAAATAAATGCAATATGGGGATCGTTTTCGAGGTATTTGGGGTGCTCATTAGGAATATAGCACTTATTTCTAAATCCAAGATGGCGGACATGACTTTTCAAATAATAGCAAGTTGGGTGTCGTTTTCGAGGTATTTGGGGGTGCTCATTAAGAACATGGCACTAATTTCTAAATCCAAGATGGCGGGCATGATTTTTCGAATAATGGCAAGTTGGGTGTCGTTTTCAAGGTATTTGGGGCTGCTCATTCCAAATATAGCACATATTTCTAAATCCAAGATGGCGAAGAATTAGAAGTCTTGTCTGCCATCTTGTATTCAGATATACATGGCATTTTCTTATGGTTTACCAAAAATAAATTTTTGAAAATTGTTGTCAACCATCTTGGATTTAGAAATTAATGCTACATTCGTAATAAGCTCTCTAAAACTCCTCGAAAACGTCTATAATTCTCAATCTTACTGTCGATCGACAATGTCGAGCAAATCTGTACGCACCTCATTAAATACTACCCAATTTTTATTTAACTCATATATGAACAAAAACCTACAAGCGAGTTTAAGTGCGACTATCGAATTTGAATATATAAATAGCCTGATATTATCTGTGGGTATGTTTACATGAAAAGTACACGATAACAATTAAGAACCTGAACCTGAAAGTTATTTATACACGATTTTGGAGAACTGACGATGACTTTTTAGTCAGTGTTAGTTTCCTGAAATAATTTTAGTTAAGAACTTTTGAGTCTGAGCAAGACAATTTTTTTTAATGAGTGTATGATGAACAAGAATAATGATTTTTCACATGAAACTAATGAAGGCAAATACTAAATATATTTCGTAAAAATAGCTAACGTAAATTCCCTACAATGTTATTGCGGCGACGTAAATTTGTAGAAATTTTGCAACTGTCGCGATATTGCCTATTCTCAAAAAAATACGTAATATAATTATTTTGAAACAGAATAGCAAAATGGGGCGAAAAAACCCGTTACTTTGCAACATTTTCGTATTTTGTTGCAACGAAATTAATTTTCTGTTGTGGAATGTGATGTTAGTGTCTATTTTATATTTGTCTGATCTATTTTTAAACTCAATTACCATACATTTCGTCATTTTTAGCAAAAATTTTTGAGCTGCTCGCGGTGCAACTTGACCTTGAGCACTGACAGCCCGTTCGCTCGTGTAGGCCCATAGGGCGCCCTACAATTTGCCTCACTTAGCGTGTGCGGGCTAGATTTCTATGCGTTATTATTTTAAGGTTGAATCCTTAGAGGATGGAAAAAAGGTTGAATCGGTGACTTAGAGAAGATCGGTGATCACTGGTGTGATTTTCGTGGGCAGGAACTGTCATAGATACAAATCTAAAGTTCAAAGAACTGGTGACGTCACTAGGCAGATAAGAGCTGCAATGTGAGTCAGATAGTATGTCCTAGAAACATTGCCCTACACTTGCTTGTTAGAAGAAATGCATTATCTTAATGGTCCACATTAACAACAATTGTATACTTACATAAGCATTCTTTTTGTTTAGATAATATTTGTAATACGTAAACATTGACTTACAAATACATGGACGACGGGTCTAATACAAAAACCACGAAAAAATGTCCCAAGTCAACCTATTCAAACGTGTAAAGTGACATGTAAAAGAATATGAAAAAGCTAAAACGTTGAATTTAAATTGTAATGTCATCGCAGTACTGTCTAATTTTGCTTGCTTCGCTGTCAGTCGAACAAACGAAAACTAAAGCGTGAATGACGCTCTGTATACGATTTTAACGCCCTATAAGTTCGGACACTTTTTAGCGCGGACCCGACGTCCATATAATTGTAAGTCAATGTACGTAAACAAAAAAATGTGGTTAATTCAAAAACAAGACAGAGTACTAAAAAACCGATTTCGAAAAGTCATTCATCCCCTAGTTTACCTCCCTTAGAGGTGAAATATTTTCTTCAAATTTAAATGAGACCACGTCTGAGGTACGCAACAAGAAAAGAATCATCAAAATCGGTTCACAAATTGAGTTATTGCGTAACATACATATAAAAAAAAACAAAAACATACCGTCGAATTGAGGACCTCCTCCTTTTTTTTGAAGTCGGTTAAGAATTGCAGTAGTTGACTACTTAGTAGCTGTAGAGCTCCTTTCTGCCACCAAGCAGTAATGTAAGCTTTCCGGTTTGAAGGGTAAGATCTCAAGGTTATCTGTACCCTGACTTTCAATCTAGGCTAACTCTGGCTTCGTTTATCCACACCTTTTTTTTTTTTTTTATTATGTTAACCAGTAGGCAAACGAGCAGACAAGCCACTTGATGGGAGGTGGTCATTGTCGCCCATGGACACGAGCAATACCAGAGGCATCACCCATGCGTTGCCGACTCCGGAGAACCTTGTTTACACGTCTTTTGAAGAACTCCATGTTATAGCGCAAGGGGAACACTTCAGGAGGAAGGCCATTCCACATCTTACTGGTTCGGGGAAGGAACGAACGAGATGCTCGAGTGGTCGTGACGTGCCAAGCATCGAGGAAGTGGGGATGGAGTCTTCTCCTTCGGCGGGTCGTGCAGTGGTAAAAGAGTGACGGAGGCACCAACTCAAAGAGTTCGTCTGAGCACTCCCCGTTATACAGACGGTAGAACACACATAGAGAGCCAACATCTCTCCGCAGACTAAGGGGCTCTAAACCGTCTGTAAGCATAGGGTCGTCGACAATTCGAACAGCCCGAGGTTGGATGGAGTCAAGTGGATCAAGCTGATACTTGGGTGCTCCAGCCCAGAGGTGCGAGCAGTATTCCATATGGGACCGAACCTGAGCTTTGTATAGCAAAAGCCGGTGCCCCGATGTGAAACACCGCTTCGCTCTGTTGAGCACACCAATCTTTTTAGAAGCCATTTTGGCTTTATTCTCCAAATGACCCCGAAACTGGACTTCGTTCGAGATGTCGACGCCAAGGATGCCTATACTATTAGAGGTGACGAGGGGAGTGCCTTGGAACTTAGGCGCTATAACAAATGGAGTTTTCTTAGCGGAGAACGCGCAAACTTGTGTTTTTGTGGGGTTAAAGCGGACAAGATTTTGTCGGCCCCATACGGAGACTTGCTCCAGTGAGGTCTCGATTTCAGACACAAGTTGTGCTCTTCCTTCTACCACTTCCTGTTGGGTCATATTTGCACGGCCAGTATAAAAGGTATCACCAGTACTGTCATCCGCATAGCAATGAATGTTACTTGTCAGTAACATATCATTGATATGCAGGATAAACAGGGCTGGTGATAGCACTGACCCCTGGGGAACCTATAAGCGATATTATGGTAAAGCATAGACATAGTAACAAAATAAATTTACATTAAAAAAATAAAGTGATCCTGATAGTATGCATTCGAGTGCAAGTGTGTCATCGCGCATTTACTATTGAATACGATGAAGGTTAAAATAATTAATCTACATCAATATCTCTTCAGTCAAGTCCTTATTCTGGTTTTACATTCGAATTTATTAAATTTAAATAACATTTAAGTAGATTGTAGGACATAGGTAATGTTTTGTTTATTTTTTTCAAAGGAGTACGCTCTTGTTAACGTAATGAGATGATGTAAAGAGCGTTTCACATTTAGAGGATGAAAAAATAAATAAAAGAAAGGTGCTGCCCTAACTACGGAATGAACATTCACACCTAAACAAAAATTGAACCAACAAATGGCGGATTTCCGTAGTGTCGTACCATAATCTATCGATAAGTCATTATCGACATGCGGACATTTAATTAAAGTAGATCAATATTCCATTTGGGAATATTTTAGGTTATTATGGGAA